TTTTTTTTTTTTTTTTTTTTTTTTTTTTTTTTTTTTTTTTTTTTTTTTTTTTTTGGAAATTAGGTTCCTCTAGTAAAGTGTCAGATAATTTGGGGTCTCCTACGCTAAACTCTCGAGAAGGCACCTGTCAACCAAGTAAGTTATCATAAAGATTCTAGGTTCAAATATACTTTTATGGATCGCTTTGGAAATGCATGCATGATATTAGAGGCGATCCTAGGAGTCTTAGATATTGTGTGTCCTGAGATAAATTTACTAGATAGACTCGAGCATAGCCATACATGATTTAAATACTTTAAATCTGCTCCTATGATGTATTGAGGAATGTTTACTTCTATTTTTCATTGTTTATTTATATGAGAAGGACGAAAACTTGTGATTGGTGCTCCAAATGTTTGATGGATGTTATCACCCCACTGAGCATGTACGACTACTTGTATACCTTGGTATAAATTAGCTCTCGATGTGAGAATGTGTGATTTTTCTTGTAGAGCCTAAAAACATGTAATAATTAGTCAATGGTGCAAGAGTCAGTTAGGTAGACGACGTCTCCATTAGATAGAGCACTATAGAATCATGAGCGACGATCAGCGGGACTAGACCCAATGCACTCAAAGTAGAGAAAAGGCTCAAGAAGTCCAACCAAAGAAAGCTCGAGTTGAGAGTCCATGGCTAGGTCGTCATGTCGTCCTAAGGACCTAGAGAACCACCACGACAAACTTTGAAAAACTACGTAGTATGCAGCCTTAGTGGTTCGTAAGGTGCAAACAGAGACTTCCATGTTTTTTTCCACTCTGATACCAGTATTGTCGAGCTAAGCCTATGTCGGTTAGGGATGTGTGACTGACAAAATAGTAAACTACCCTATGAAGCACATCTATCTTGAGAAGGGGAGTTAGATACACGGGTAGCCTTAATACAGGTGACAATGTGGTCTTGTGGGAAGGGTTCCCTAGTTAACCTTGCATTATATCAAGATGTCCCTACAAAGAGAGAAATTATTTTACATTTTTGAGGTAGTGCCTCGACTAGGACACCGACTCTCACCCCATAGGCTAAGACCATAACCCAAGTCTTAAAGAAGTAAGGGTTGTCCCTAGAGTTAGAAGAATTAAGTTCGTGTTGACCCATTAGCATAAGTTTACGATAAGAGCGTATAAGTAAGTTGCTTATTGAGTATGATTATTGTTGGGATTTCTGCCTTAAAGCTCGTAGTTTTTTATAATTGAACATTTTCTCATTCATGAATTAAGTAATTTATTATTGTGTGAAACATTATCCAATAATCATATAAGATCCAAGGTTATTATGGTAAACTTGAACCGTATGTAGTTGCCATATAGGAGAATCCTGTTTGAGTAATAATAAAAAAGGTCTATAGTATATGATTTGATCCAAATCATTCATGTGGAGACATGTGAGTGGAGGTATCCTATACAATAAGTTTATATAAGACTGAACCATGAAAATATTTAATCTCTATTTATAAATTCGTTAATTAAGAAGATTAATATTTCATAGGATGTTCATGTGCGACTCGATCTTAATCATGAGTGAGTTATGAACTCCTATCTACGAGGACTTGTCTTTTGATTTGCATGGGTGAGAATGACTTTTGTAGCCGATTCAATATGCCTACCATCTTGGAGACTTGACCAAATAGGAAGCTCGGAACATAACCTCACAAGATGGAATTCACTCCTTCCCATATAGGGTAAGTAGATGAGTAATTCTCTTAAGTGCTGATTTCGGGACTTAAACAATGGGGCCCACCCTCTCACTGGCCCGAGAGGGACTCAGTTTATGATTGAATCATAAACAAATTGTTTATTAGAGAATCAGTGGTACATAAGGTACAAGATATAATTACGGGGGTAAAACGGACTTTTGACCCAACTGTAGTTACGAATAACTCGTGAAGGATCGACTTGTCTTTAATGATAACCCATGGATATAACTTGTCCTACCGACATAAGAGTTCAACTATAGGTCTACAGTGGAGCGACCTATAGTTAATGAATGAAAATTAATTATAATTAATTAATTTTAGTTAATTAATTAATGATAACCCATGGACATAAGAGTTTAGTTAATTAATTTGATGTCAATGGAGCTTATAACCAGTAGGTCCATAAGGTCCCATACTAGCTCATAATAACACTAAAAGGTAAATTTAATTGAAAGAATAAATTTGAAAGGTTCAAATTAATATATTTGATATATTAAATGTTGAAGGAGAAAAATATATTTAGTTTGAATAGTTCATATTAGAAAAATATGTTTATTGTATTTGGTACATTAATATTAATGATATTAGATACATTAAATAAAATTATATATTCAAAAATGGAATAAGATTCATATATATTTTTATAGTGTGATATTTATATATGATTTAAATAAAATATTGTTTCGTAATAGATAAGATACTGGAATATATTATTTGACAAAATATTCTTACAAAGTCCTTATAAATAGGACTCTATTCTTGAGTTAATAATATGGTTTTTTACACGATCTCTATTAGAATTCTCCTATTATTCTAAAAGGTTCCCACAAGCCAATAAATTATTCTAAAAGGTTCCCACAAGCCAATTTATTGGTGTTAGATTTTGTGGAAGAGCTTCGGTGTTAAAATCGAGAATCGTAATCTACAGTTTCTACCTAGGTATAAGTTATTGCTTTCCTATTTATTGCTTACATTTTAATTCCTATTAAAAATCAAACGGTTCCCAATGCTTCCGCTACGTGGATGAAAAGTTCATTCCCTTCAATTATATATTCAGCGATTCATTTACTTATTTTTTAGGAGAAATGACTTTGCTATTCAAGGTGAGGGGTGCACGGGAATTCTACAGCCATAGAGGATGTCGACACGGGGAATCTAGCTTGTCTTCCTTCTAGGGACGGTCATACTTTGTCTTTTTCTTCTTCATGGGCCCCAAACACTTTCTCCCTATTTTTTTTTTTTGCGTTGCACGGTTTGTATGTCTCAATCCGAATTTTCTCTCCTTGATTACACACTATGGTTGCATGTGATTGCTTTTTTAGACCCCAATAGTCAGACTACTTATGGAGTATTTTTAAATATTCAAGTGATATACTACTTCTTTTTCAAATAAAGATAAAATACTTATATATGAATAACCCATGATCATTCCCTAAATTAGCCGATGTGGGACTTTCATCATCCAACACCTCCCCTCGAACAAAGCACGCCTCCCCTTAATCGAGGCTCGACTCCTTTGGAGTCTTAGTCATTGTTGACTGCCTTCGTACCTTCGAGGAGGCTTGACTCCTTTTGGAGTCCTTTGTTCGACATTTAAGGATTTGCCAATCTATTGGCACGGCTAAGTTTAGGGCATGACTCTGATACCATGTTAGACGAACACGACTCTCCACAATGGTATGATATTGTCCACTTTGAGCATAAGCTCTCATGGCTTTGCTTTGGGCTTCCCAAAAGGCCTCATACCAATGAAGAGTGTATTCTTAGACTATAAACCCATGATCATTCCCTAAATTAGCCGATGTGGGACTTTCATCATCCAACAGTTACAATGTGACATAAACATCTTCATATTATACTTGTTTAAGTTGCAGATGTGGCAAAAACATATTTATTATTACAAATTTATGCCAAGTAGCAGCTCAAACAAATATATATATATCCAAACAGCTCACCAAAAACTATGACTTACGGCAAGAGACCGAATAACTTTGGGGTTCACATGAGTCTCGTCAACAACTGCCTCAGGTTTTTCTATGCATGTTGTTCATCATTTTTTCTTTCATTGCTCTGCCTTCGAGCATATAGATTTAAGAAGTTTAAGGAAAAGAAAAAAAATGTATGAAAAAGAGTGTTCATTTAGCTAAAAACACTCCAAAATCTTACAATATGATCTTGAGATGGATAATAGGATTTGATCCTTCGATCATAGCATGCAATTGATCCTACACTAAGATCATATTGGTCATATCTCCCTCAATACAAGTCTTTTTTTAAGCTAAACCATCATTCATTTTCTTATATTTGTTTATTCTTTCTAATTAGGCAAAATTTTAGGGATCTTACCTTTTAAGACCGGTAAAAATCAACATGGTCTATGTTTAAATTTTGACCAGGTGTAAGTTTGAGTCAAATTGACAAAATTGAATTTTTTTTTATTTCGTGTAACTTCTTAACATTTTCGTTTCCGAAAGTAGATTATTAGACATTTCTACCTAACAAGGGTTAAAAGAAAGAAAAAAAAAAGAATGAAAGAAGATAGAGATGTGAGGAGGGATAATTTTTTTTTTTTTTTTGTAAAGAAAAAACCCTGCTTTTACTAAGATCATTGCTTTTGAATATTATATTTTAGTTAGTTTGAAGGGATAGACATATAATGGAAGGTGGAAGTAAAGCCACTTAATTTGATTCCACGTGTAAGGGTCAACTAAATACTTCGCCCATTTGGCCAAATTGGGTCCTTCAGATTTGGAGTTTAGTGAAGTTTCAAAGCGGACACTGTCTTCGCAGCAGCCACCGAAGTACCCAAGTTTAGACTTTGCCAACTATAATATGTTTTCTTTAATACTTTTCAACTTCATTCTTACATTATGTCTAAATAATTACTCATAATTGGATCGCCCACATTAATAATAATATTGGAAGAGTTTAATAGGCTATAAATTTGAGTCATCCCTTTAAATAATTTCCACGTAGACGCTTTGGCTTGACTATTCAATATACGCCAACAACCTTCACAATTCCATCCAAATATCTTCTATGTATGTATATATCATCATCCTTTCTCCTCTCTCCATAACTTCCCTTTTCTCTCTTTCTTTCTTACAAGATTATACCGTTGCCATGGGAAATTGTACAAGCAACAAATATTTGGCAGAGACAATGCCGATGAGTGAGGAGGAGGAACTGGTGGAGACGTTGAAGAGGAAGCTGAATGCCGATGACGGTGCTTCGAGATCTTCGAGAGGGACGACGACGACGACGACGGAGGTGAAGATTAGGATGACAAAGAGAGAGCTGGAGAAGTTATTGAGCAAAGTGGAAGTGGAGGAGCTGCCAGTGACGGAGCTGTTATTGCAGTTGATTGAGGTTGGGGATGAGTCGGAGAGTACTCATCGGCGATCATGGCGACCATCTTTGCAAAGCATTCCTGAGCTGTGCTGAATTGAATAACAAGTGTTGAAGAAGATTATAAAATTGTAGATAAGAGAGTTGAGTTGGAATATAATTATGTTTCCTCCCAACACTTTGGAGCCAACTACCCAAAAATTAGTTGAGAGAACAAGAAAATTTTAAGTAGGCAATGTGAGGGATCACCATATGACCCAACCATAGGGTCCTGTGTACATGACTTGGGAGATTATCATCTATCATATTTAAAATAATATATTAAAATATACGTATTTCAAATTCAAATCATACTCAAATAAAATATCATAATATTTATTTAACCAAATTTGAATTTCATATTTTAAATATATATAATTTATTTTAATATTTAATGTATTAAATATAATAAATATATTTCTCCTATTTAAATATTAATTTGAACATTTAAATGTTTTAAAACTTAATTACGAGAGAAAACTAACGGATCTACCTCGTGTAAGTTCCAATAACATAATGTTCATTAACTATACTATTTAATATATTATTTTTCATCCATTAATCATAGGTCTCTCCACTATACATCTATAGTCTAACTCTTATGCAAGGTAGGACAAGTTGTATTTATGGATATAATCATTACAAGCAAGTTAGTCTTTCACAAGTTGTTCGCAATTAGAGTTGGGTCAAAATTCTTTTTCATACCTGTAATTACCTATTTCGCCTTAAATAACATTGATTCTCTATTGAATAATTTATTTATGATCCAACTATAAACTAAGTCCCCCTCGAGCCAATGAGAGAGATTGACCTCATTGTTCAAGTCTCGAAAACCGCTCTTAAGGGAGCTACTTATTTACTTTCCTTATATGAGAAGAGTAAATTTCATTTCATAAAAGTATGTTCTCAACTCTCTATTTTATCAAGTTCTCAAAACGGTGACATATTGAATCGACTATAAAAGTCATTTTCATCCATACAAATCAAAGACAAACCCTCGTTGTAACAACCCTAAATTTCTACATACTCAGAGTCGCTTCTAACGTCTCATGCTCATCTCTTAAATGCAGAATATAACTCTTAATTGCTCATCATAAATAGCGAAAAATTTAAAAACCTTAAGAACATTTCAAATGGCTAGAAAACACTGTCGAACTTATGTGTTTCAAAACATATAATGCTGAAATTTAAAATTAAAGTAAAAACAATTACAAATGAAATAATTTCAAAACACTGTTGGACTTATGGGGAGGACGACCTTGCTGCAAAGAGGCAGCCGAGCTTTTAAGTGGGGGAGAGCCCGAGTCATTGAGCCTCACACCTCGTAAAGGTGCTCCAAGGTATGAGCACACGTGTATTCCTTGAAGCATCACCTTGTGCCTAAGGTCGATGACTCCTCAAGAGTTGTCGAGACCAATATCGGCTCGAGAAATGAGCATCATCTGGAAGGGACGTAGAGAAGTGAAGCTGCAACATGACTTCAGAATTGTCAAGGCAGCGTTGCCACATGAAGATGACAAGTTAAAAGTTGGCGGAAGTGTAGCGTCAACACGGAGCTATGTTACAAGATTTCAAACATCCAGTTAAGAGTTGGCAGAAGTGTACCGTCAACACGAGGCTGTGTTACAAGCTTTTAGACATCACTACTACAAGGGGTGGTGCCACGATGAGTAAATGTCTTGGTTGGCTTGTGAGCCTTACCCCGAGGGGTGCATCGTTATGTGCGACTTAGAGAATACGACGAGTGTGGCCAGAGTGGCCAAAGTTGGGGCACGCTCCCCCTAACCAAGGCGAGAGTATTCCAAAGCTAGTTAGTTGCCATGGTTTGTCTGGTGAGTCCCGAGTCAAGTTCGTAGAAGGGCGAGGGAGGCCCAAGAGGGGATAGCCCACAACCATAGTGTAGTTGTTTTGCGATACTTGTGTTGCTAGTCTCTGAGACCGAAAGAAGGTCCGTCAGTGTGATAGCTCATAAGTAGTACGCATTATCTGTATTCGTTCTGAAGCACTTATTTCAATGGGTTCCCTCAGCAGCCAGTCTAGAATTGGATCGTCATTGAGAACGATGCTGAGATTAAGTGGGGGAGAGAGTCACAATCCAAAGTGTGATTGTGCCTCGAAATAAGTCATCGAGGACGATGACTAGTTTAAGTAGGGGAGAATGTCACAACCTAACAATGGTTGTAGCCCCAAGTAAGTCATCGAGGACAATGGCGAGTTTTAGTGGGGGAGAATGTCACAACCTAACTATGAAGAGAGTAGGTTGTGACCCTCATGTTGAGACAAGAGAAGTGGCGACCTTCAAGTGCCGCCCATCTGGCCACACGAGGGCCTAGATGAGTGCTATGATGCTGCCGAGGAAAATGGTGCATCATCTAACACACCACACAGAGTGGGCATTGAAGACAAGTCGAGACATAAGCAAGATAGAGACATCGAATAGACAAGAGTGGCAAAATCAGGCTTGTTGAAGGGCCAGGTAGGGTCTCGGGCCTTAACCTTGAAAGTCGAAGTTCTGGAAGGAATTTGGGCATGCGATCCTGGATTTAAGTCCGTGCATATGAAATATGAGTGCACGAAAAATTGTGGTGTCAATCAAACACCGGATGAATGCTCCATGGTACCATATGACCGTTTGGCAAAATCATGTCTATGCCTAGTGGATTAAAAATGGCTCAAAATGTACTATAGGGATTACCATGGTGTCAGCTCTCCACCATCCCTAGGCTCTGTGGCCTAAGTGAGCTACCCTGTGGCACATACGTGCGTCATAGCTAGGGCGAGCGTGCCGAGATGAGTGTCTCAGACGACTTCCTTTGAAATGGATTTTTTAAGGACAGTACCGGACGACATGAGTGTGTTGGTATTGTGCCCTAACCCGTGTGTCAGAGGTTGCTACATACAGCCGCTATCTGGTCTAGTGTACGTAAATGATGTGACACAGGTATGGGAGGGCAAATGCCGTGATAGAACCCGGATGGATGGATGTTCGGGATGTTCTTATGAGATGAGCGACACGTGGGCTCATTCTCGATGGCATGATCGAGGGAGTTATGATTGCCGAGGACACCTTAAGACTCGAGATGACATCAATATATATGGGCCATGTCGATGGGAATCAAGATGACAAGATGAGACAAGATATTGTATTGAGAAACCTTGGTAGAGGTAAGGTGGACCTGAATGACTTGGCCTAGTGTAAGAGACAAGTCGGTTGTGTCACAGACGAATGAACATGCACGTGCAGGCGGCATGTGTGGTCAAGCAAGGTTGGATTCCACACAAGTGATGTTTGATTGGTGAAGACAAACCTCGCCTAAGGTCTGATGAAGCCACAAAGTCGGAAAAAAAAAATATATACGGGGCTTGATTCCCCTTAAGGGTGGTCGTGAGCGTGTCAAGATCATGATGCCGCACGGTTGAAAAAGTAGGACCTTGACAATTGGTATCAGAACCATACCCTTAATTTAGCCACGTCAGTAGAATTCTCTAGTGTCGAACAAAGAAATTGCTAGTCTCGAAGGTGTAGTAAAAAAATGACTCATGTGTCGAATAAAGGGTGTACTTTGTTCGAGGGGAGGATTGTTGGTGTTAAAGATATTTTGAACTAAATTATACTTTACCATATATATCATAGTTAAAGATATTTAGTACTAAATTATAGTTTACCATATAAATCATTTGATATTTTATTATAGACAAATATCTAGATATTTGCCTTCCTACCATAATTATCTTTTCATTTATTGATCTTTTCATATCCTTGTAATTTATTTGATTATAAATAGAAAACTTTTCCACCATTTAGGTGCATTTAGGTGCGGTGGTTTTAGCAAATACTCTCTTGGTATCAGAGCCCTTTCGGTTTAACAACCCCGATTCTTTCTTTTCAATGGCTTTTGAATCCTTTATTGTTCTTCCCCACCACCACTGCTGGCTTTGATGCCGCAGGGTAGTCTCCATGGCTATCACATGCAGAGCCGATTGATTACTCTTCGGCTCCACCCTTTTGACCTCTAAATCACCTTTCGTCATACTTTGTACATACAACCTCACATTCTCCAACACAACCGGTTTCCCTTAACCAACATAATCTCTTTCATTTTCTTCCCAATCTTTCCTTCATACTTCACATAAAACCCTAACCTCAGACCCTCATCAGCATTTTCATCGAAAATATATGGAATCTCGACAAGTCCATTGACCTTCTGCAGAGATTTACCCTCGAAATATGAGTGCTGCACTGACCTTTTCGTCAACCAAGTCACCGCCAGCCTCCTTGCCAAAATCGGCTCCTTCATCCACTGTGGCGACTCTTTCAGCTTCAACATCGTCTTCGTCCTTTTCTCCGCGGGACGCGACTCCCTCTCCATCCATTGGAACTTCACCACTTGTTATGGCGCCGACTACTTCTCCACCGGCTCCGCCTACTGCTCCTTTGGAGTCACCAGTGCAAACTCCAATTGCAAAATATGCTCGAGATATTCTTACTTGTGCTCATTTACTCGATAACAAACTAATCCACAAGGTGCAGACCATTCTGTCTCCGTCCTTCTCTTTCTTTCTTTGCTAAAATACACCCCAGAGTCCGCATTCTCGATTTAAACCCTCTTCTTCCTCTCTTGTTCCTATCTTCTTCATAGTCACCACCGAACCCTCTCTCTCTATTCTCCTTCTTCCTTTGTGTTCCCACTTTTACTTCGTGGGTTAGACATATTCTCGCCGGAGTCAAGGCAGCATCGTCATTGAGCAACGATCTCTCTGTAGTTTTCGATGGCCAAGAAAGTGTTTCTCTAGGTCTCCTCTAAACCAGGTTTTTGAAATCTTCACGAAAAGTATTTCTCGACCTCTCTTTGAATTTTTCAGATCCAAGTTTCACATTCGTTCAAATCCGACGCTTAGCTTGCGGGGAGGGGGGGTGTTAAAGATATTTAGTACTACATTATAGTTTACCATATATATCATATTTGATATTTTATTATAGACAAATATCTAGATATGATCATGAGTTTATAAGTAAGAAATACATCTCCATTGGCATGAGGTCTTTTGGGGAAGCCCAAAACAAAACCATGAGAGCTCATGCTCAAAGTGACAATATCATACCATTGTGGAGAGTTGTGATTCTTAACTTGGTATTAGAGCCACACTTAGTTAGTGTCTTGTCAGACAAAATAGTCAAGATAAAGGAACTCGAGAGTTGATTGAAGACCTTGCAGTTGTGGGTCTTAATTAGAATCAGCTGTC